AAAAATTATAACAAGAAAGAAAATACCCTTGCAGAATATTCTGTAAATTATATTCTCCAAAATTATTCATATGATGCATTCTTAACACTCATAAAAATCCCAACTTCCTAACTTTAAGAACACCAAAGTTATGGCATTTCCAACCGTTCAGTTATATGACAGCTATAGAATATAGTCGGCCGATCCTTATGAAATTTGGTATGTCGGATTGATTGGCCAAAAATAAAACCCTTAGAAAATCCCAACTTCCTAACTTAATAATTACCAAAGTTATGGCATTTCCGATCAATCAGTTATATGGCAGCTATAGGATATAGTCGACCGAATAAGAAGTCTACTAGAATAAGAAGGTAAGATAAGATTTACATCCCAGTTTAGGCGCCGTAAAGCAAAAAGAAGGAAGTTTTTTTTACGACCAATATGTATTCCGTATTGTGGACTCCAGACGGGAGACCCATACTCCAGAATCGGACGGACAATGCCAGCTATATGCTATTGTTATCCAATTTTAATTTAATTAAAACCGTAATTCCATAATATTTAAATATTACCAAATCCCAAAGAACAAAGAAAAATTAAAAAACATACAATTTTAGTTTCTTTTTAATTTTTCAAAATCGAACATGTACAAAATGTTCGTTTTTTGAAAATAATATTTCTAAAAAATCTAACTTTGTTGTTTTTGTTTCTTGTTCTTGTATTTTGAAAAACAACTTCTTGAGAGCATTTCCCCAAATTTTCATAGAGATTTGAGCAGTAGAAAGAAAGTTACAACGCTCTTAGCCGCGCGCCTTGTCCCCGCCCAAACCCAAACGTAAAACTTTAAACGCGAATATCTCGAAATGGTGTTTTTTGAAAAATGACTGCGGTGATATGGATTGGCTAAAAACTACTGAACCGATTTTCTTCAATTTTTATACCCTTGCAGAGGGTATTATAATTTCAGTCAAAAGTTTGCAACGCAGTGAAGAAGACATTTCCGACCCTATAAAGTATATATATTCTTGATCAGCATCACCATGAGAGTCGATTTAGCCATGTCCGTCTGTCCGTCCGTCCGTCCGTCCGTTTCTACGCAAACTAGTCCCTCAGTTTAAAAGCTATCTGCTTGAAACTTTCCCAAAGTTGTCTTTCTATTGCAGGTAGTATATAAGTCGGAACGAGCCGGATCGGGCGACTATATCATATAGCTGCCATATAACTGAACGATCGGAAATGCCATAACTTTGGTGTTTTTAAAGTTAGGAAGTTGGTTTTTTTATGGGTTTTATATTTGGCCAATGAATCCGACATACCAAATTTCATAAGGATCGGCCGACTATATCCTATAGCCGCCATATAACTGATTGATCGGAAATGCCATAACTTTAGTGTTTGTAAATCGCTTCTTATCAATTATGGTTTGTTATGGTTTCTTTTTCGCTTTTATAAAAACCGCGCCATGTTCGTATAGATTTCTTATCATGATTTTAATTTGACATACAAATAAACCAGATGTTGGCTAAACAAAACTTATTCTGCCCAAATATTCCATAAATTTAATCTCTAATTTTTTATGGAAGCGAAAAGAAACCATATGGTTAATTTTTATGTCAAACTACAATCAAATTGGATAACAAGTAATTCCAGTAAAATAAAATAATTTTATAGATTCTGCGCGCTTGGCTGAGCAAAAGTCTTTTAAAATAGCATTCTTTACAAAAATAGGTTTGCCCCCAGTTTATGTTAAAAATGCCTGTTTTAAGCGGTGGGCAAACGATTTTTTTTATTCTTACTTGTTAGGAGATGGGCAAACATGGTCATATTTGCAGGCAAATACGTTAAAAAAAATTGGAAAAAGTCAACTTGAATTTTTTCGAAAAAGTTCAAGAATTTTCAAAAAGTCCATATTTTCAAAACTAAAGGCATGCAAAAAAAAAAAAAGGGCTAAAATGGGCCAATGATTAAGCTATTCAAATTTCAAAAATTCGATTTAAGTCGACCAAACTTCTTTGAGCTAATTGTTTTGTAATAACTGCAAGGGTATATAAACTTTGGCTTGCCGAAGTTTGCTTCCTTTCTTGTTTTTTTTAATGTTCGTAATGTACTGGAACGATTTATTTTCAAGCAAATTTTTATTTCGCCGAAATAGAAATAGAATTCCAGCGACCAAAAACTTAATTATGCACAAAAAAAATTATAACAAGAAAGAAAATACCCTTGCAGAATATTCTGTAAATTATATTCTCCAAAATTATTCATATGATGCATTCTTAACACTCATAAAAATCCCAACTTCCTAACTTTAAGAACACCAAAGTTATGGCATTTCCAACCGTTCAGTTATATGACAGCTATAGAATATAGTCGGCCGATCCTTATGAAATTTGGTATGTCGGATTGATTGGCCAAAAATAAAACCCTTAGAAAATCCCAACTTCCTAACTTAATAATTACCAAAGTTATGGCATTTCCGATCAATCAGTTATATGGCTGCTATAGGATATGATGCTTATGAAATTTGGTAGTTAAGATTGACTGGCCAAATATAAAACCCATAGAAAATCCCAACTTCCTAACCCTATAAACACCAGAGTTATGGCATTTCCAATCAATCAGTTATATGGCGTCTATAGGATATAGTCGGCCGATCCCGGCCGTTTGTAAAGTTAGGAAGCTGGGATTTTCTATGGGTTTTATACTTGGCCAATCAATCCGACCTACTAAATTTCATAAGGATCGGCCGACTATATCCTATAGCTGCCATATAACTGAACGATTGGAAATGCCATAACTTTGGTGTTTTTAAAGTTAGGAAGTTGGGATTTTTTATGAGTATTAAGAAATCATTATATGAATAATTTTGGAGAATATAATGTACATAATATTCTGCAAGGGTATATCAACTCGACTCCGCCCGAAGTTAGCTTTCCTTTCTTGTTATAATGTATGACTGTCTACAAGTAAAGCGTTTTTTTTGTAACCTGTAGCACCAAATGAAACACAATATAAGTTTTGAACTTGTAGCGATGCGATTGGTAAAACTGTAATAAACAAACAGACACAAATTCTATTTAAAAACTGAATAAAAACTTGAAAAGTTGCCTTTCGCAACACTGGTTCAATCACCTCCAATTTCAAAATGTAACTTCGTTTAACCCAATTGAATTTTCAAAAATCATTTAAAAGAGCAAAATGTCAATTTATAGAGCCTACCAATAACTTTTGATCAATACATAATATATTCTGGTAGGACATTCGTATTATTTAAATTAATTAATTTTACAATGTCCTTTTCCTCAAGGTATACGATTCTTGGCATATCCTTATAAAATCGCCATTGTCCTTAATAGTACCAATTAAATCTATAACAACACCCTTGGTTTCTCTGGCTTTAATATCCAAACTCCGCTTTTAAGTATACTGTGGATCATTCTCAGACATGTCAGCAATTAGTCAAGTACAGCCCGGACATCCTGTTGGACTCATTTTGGCTTACTCATGGAACCCATGCCTCAGGTTAGCATCACCCAATTTGGCCGAAGAGCATTTGTCTTTGGTCATCGGCCATTATTGTCCGTGTTGTCGCATGTGGCCATTAAAGAAATTTCCGCTGTGGTTACCGAACCGTAAATTAAAATGTGCACAACATGCACCCTTTTCTCCGTCGTATCATCGCCTCTTTTCGAAAACGGGGTGGGGTGACAAATATTTTCATGTGTTTGGAAGAATACTGATGAAGCAATGGAAAAAGAAATATGAGCAATCCCATTTAGTGAAACAATTATGTTAAATATAACCTCATAAGATATATTCTTTTTTAAGGAAATTTTTGAATACATAAAATCAAAACATTCCCTGCATTTACATGCGTTGCAAACAAATTCACGAAACGATAATAAAAATTCTGTCCGTAAAATTTACAGGAAAAACAGGCTTAGTAAAGACAATTAGAGTTTTTCAGGTCGAGCTCTGCCGGCAATGCTGGCCGTAAATTCATAGGTAATTTTCGTGTATTTATTTAAGAAATGTTTGCATGATACGGCTATCGTATAAACATAGTAAAAGTATACGACAGCGGCTGAGCTGTGCAAATCAGTCAGTTAACACGTAATTCTTATACCTAAGGTGCGATTCCTGCATGACGAACAATACATTTTGAGACACATTGGACATTGGTGGAATTGTGAGGATTGTATTTAAGATAAGTAGTTTCGACACGATTGATCTGAATTTGTTATTTTAATGGAAGGCATGTCACATATGTACTTTTATAATTATTTACAGACGTACCACGTTGTATGTATGCACATACATATATATGCAAGTTTCGGAAAAATAAAAAAACAAATAAGAAAATTTCATTGCGCGCTATTTCTAAAAGTGGATTCGGCCAGTGATATAATTTATTTTAGCTCGACCTCTGTTCGGCCGGCACTGATGCATATATACCGTCACATACGCCCGATATATGTACATACATACATTTATATATGTATGTACCCCCTGTATGTGTACACTCATTGGTATAAAAATATTCTCTATTTGGCTTCTACTGAACAATTTTAAAGCATTCGCTCATTTCGAAATATATTCACATGTTGTCCAAGTTATTCCCAAGACAACTTTTTTTTAGAAATAAATAAAACTTTTGATATATAATTTACTTGTTGCTGTCACATAACCCATGGTTTGATTGCTATGACTATTAAGCTTATTATTATTATTATCAAAACAGTCTTAAAACACATTCATAACATTTTATTATTGATAAGCTTGGGAGCTGTTTTGTAGGCTTTAATTTTTAAAGAAAGTTACAAATTTATTTTTTTGTTTGCAGTAATTAAGCACAAGAGGAATATATTTTTTAATATTTATTTCGCTGGCTCATTTTTCTCTCTCTCTTATGTTTTCTTTTGCACTGTATTTTTCCTCTCATTTTCTCACAAGTGGTTATTATGGCAATTTTATTGTAATCAAGGCAGCGATTTCCTTTTCAGCTTTAATTCTCCTTCACTCACGTTGCTTTCGAGTTGGCTTTTTGGCGTTTCCACTTAAAGCAACCGCCCAAGTTATGAATATTTATTTGGACTCCCGTTCACACGCGTTTCAATGGCTTCAGCCCGGTTGGTACAGCGGGTCGTTTGCAAGAGCGGTATCCCTGCGTTCTCGGCGTCCGACGTTCGAAATGAAACTGAAGCAAGCCTCAAGGTGGCAAGACAGTCAGCGCCAAAGAGCCACATGCCAGCCAGAAGCGACAGCGAGGCAGGGAAAACAACCCCTAAAGTGGCGTCGGCGTTCGGCTTCTTTGCAGCTGCTGGTGTTTCGGACAAGTGTTTGGGACAAGTGCGTCGGCCACATGCAAGCCGGTTCTGGCAGACTATTCAGCGGCTGTTGCTGTTGATTCGACGGGGAATCTGCGGGTGCCATTTCCCACGACTCTTGCCCGATTTGGTAATTAGATTACCAACTGATTGGCGTGAATTGCGAAGAACTAGAATGTTATTTTGAAAAGGGCTTCACGTTATTACCTCATGATTGAAGCCTATTTGATAGATAGGAGAACATTCTTCAATGATTTTAAGTGACTTCGGATTCTGTTAGAATTCATCGAAACTAGTTAAAAACAATTTTTTTTATAATTAATAAATAAAAAAATGCTATAGTGGCACGATTAGATGTTGTCTGTCTTAATGGTTTTTTGATTGTAACATACTGTTTTTTTCCATAATGTTTTTGCGGGGGTTTATGGGTTTTCCGGTATTATTTATGGGTATCCTGCATTGTTGTCGGTACAAAAAAGCCTAATAATGGAGAAAAATCGTTGGAAGCAAAAATGGAGAAGTGTTAGGGAGGGTGAGGGTGAATTGGCATCCACCTTTTTTTGCAGATGGAGCTAGGTTTGCTATTTGTCAGTAATATCAAACAAAAGCACTCAAGATTAGGAAATATTATTCATACGTCAATAGATATTTATTTATTGTCTTTTTACCTTTGCTCTAAAAAATTAAGAAACATGTATGAAAATATTAAACTCTGCCAATTCAAGCACATAATTTCTACTAAAAGTTTTAAGTATCTTTTTTCAAAAAGTGGTGGTGACCACCTTCAGTTTCACACTAATGTATTTTTCGAGACTTTAAAGATGGTTGTATATACACAAGGTGTATACATTTTTATACCCTTGCAGAGGGTATTATAATTTTGGTCAAAAGTGTGCAACGCAGTGAAGGAGACATCTCCGACCCTATAAAGTATATATATTCTTGATCAGGATCACCTCCTGAGTTGATATAGCCATGTCCGTCTGTCCGTCTGTCTGTTTCTACGCAAACTAGTCTCTCAGTTTTAAAGATATCGAATTGAAACTTTGCACACACCCTTCTTTCCTTTGCACGCAGTATATATGTCGGAACGGCCGGGATCGGCCGACTATATCCTATAGCTGCCATATAACTGAACGATTGGAAATGCCATAACTTTGGTGTTTTTAAAGTTAAGAAGTTGGGATTTTTTATGAGTATTAAGAATGCATTATGTGAATAATTTTGGAGAATATAATTTACAGAGTATTCTGCAAGGGTATATCAACTTCGGCTCCGCCCGAAGTTAGCTTTCCTTTCTTGTTTAATTAATTTTTGTTAAAATTTTCTTTAGACTAACCTACTATGTATGTTATTTTAGTATGTATGGTTTTTGTAAGCTTCTTGAATTTTGGGTCAAAAAGGGTCAACTCAGTTTCGAAGGTCTTTGAACTGTTTTGCTTTTTGGGTTCACAACAAAAATATGAAATGTTCAAAACATTTTGAAAATTAAAGAAATGTTTGAAATGTTTAACCTAATAAAAATGTATGGCAATAAGCTACTTTTTATTCAATGTTGATATATTCGATAAAGCATTGTTTGTCCACGTTGACCATCTTTTTAAATTTTGAAAAAATAAAAACTTATGACAATGTGCAATTTTTTCATGCAATATAAATAAATATAAATGATTTAAACAAAAATATTACGGGACATCTCCTAATATTTTTTTATCAAAGGCAAACAATTGCATGTTTTTACATTCAATTGGTTGATTCGGTAAATTTATTTTAAGTTTTTGGTTAGAATATAAGAAGGAAAAATAAAAACTAATATATATATATGTCAAAATTTGCAAAACTTTTGTTCTGGCAAATAGCGTTGCTTGTCGCTGTACAAGCAACAATTGGAGGGAAACTGTCTATTTTTAGAAAATGTAAATTATAACACAATTGTGGTTTTTCTGTTATATAATCACAGTTTTTTATTATTTTCATTCATTGTTTCCCCATTTAACTCCTGTTTGGAGATTTTGTCTAGACTGAAAATTTCACAAAATATAACAACTTTTTTGTGATTTTGGGAGAAAGAAAAAACATTTTATTAACAAATTGAAAAAAACAGCCATGAACTTATTGAAATAAACTGAAATTTTGTGAGCTAGTGTTATTGCCGTTAAGATATAGACGAATGTGGGCGACTACGCATTAAGGTCGCTGTTTATTTTTGGCGAAGCACGAAGCCGACCAAAACAGCATCTGGTCAGCACACTGTAGTTTAGAAGAATTTTTTTGTGAATATTTCATGTTTTTGATCATACAAACATCATACAAATGCATATAAATTACAAAAAAAAACTTAAAGTTTCACTGAAGCTTTTTATACCCTTGTAGAGGGTATTACAATTTTGGTCAAAAGTGTGCAACGCAGTGAAGGAGACATCTCCGACCCTATAAAGTATATATATTCTTGATCAGGATCACCTCCTGAGTTGATATAGCCATGTCCGTCTGTCCGTCTGTCTGTTTCTACGCAAACTAGTCTCTCAGTTTTAAAGATATCGAATTGAAACTTTGCACACACCCTTCTTTCCTTTACACGCAGTATATAAGTCGGAACGGCCGTGATCGGCCGACTATATCCTATAGCCGCCATATAACTGATTGATCGGAAATGCCATAACTTTGGTGTTTGTAAAGTTAGGAAGTTGGGATTATCTATGGGTTTAATTTTTGGCCAATCAATCCGACCTACCTACATTTCATAAGGATCGGCCGACTATATCTTATAGCTGCCATATAACTGAACGATTGGAAATGCCATAACTTTGGTGTTTATACCCGTTACTCGTAGAGTAAAAGGGTATATTGTATTCGTGCAAAAGTATGTAACAGCTAGAAGGAAGCGTTTCCGACCCTATAAAGTATATATATTCTTGATCAGGGTCACTAGCCGAGTCGATATAGCCATGTCCGTCTGTCCGTCTGTCCGCCTGTCTGTCTGTCCGTCTGTCTGTCCGTCCGTATGAACGCTGAGATCTCGGAAAATATAAAAGCTAGAAGATTGGCATTTTGCGTGCAGATTCTAGGAGTTCCTACGCAGCGCAAGTTTGTTTCAAAAAGGTGCCACGCCCCCTTTAACGCCCTCAATCGCTTATATACGATTTTAAAAATTTAAATATTTCGGAAAAGTAAAAATGCAGTTTTATTGTGTTTATCAATACCTATCGAAATGTAGAATAAATTTTTCAAATTGGACCATTCGTTAAAAAGTTATGCGTGATCAAAGTTTCTATCTCCATCTCCCTCGCACTCCCTTTACCTGAGTAACGGGTATCTGATAGTCGGGGCACCCGACTATAGCGTTCTCTCTTGTTTTAAAGTTAGGAAGTTCGGATTTTTAATCAGTATTAAGAATGCATCATATAAATAATTTTGGAGAATATAATTTACAGAATATTCTGCAAGGGTATATCAACTTCGGCTCCACCCGAAGTTTGCTTTCCTTTCTTGTTTGTTTTAAGATTTAAGTTGATCAGCTGCTTTTTCTCACATTTGTGCAGGAAATTAAATTAAAACCAAATAATGTTACTTAAAAATAAAAAATTGGGATCAAGGTATTAGTTATACCCTTTGAACCTTTTTGTTTAAACTAATATTACATATTAATACACCAAAAAAAGTTTATATTCTTGAAGGATAATTGAAAATTGATATATTTTTTAATTTTTTGCTAAATTCTGATGAGTGACTTGTTTTTATGTCCACAAAAAATACAAGATTTTCAAACAAGGTGTGTATTCAACTAAAAAGGAAATAATACGTTTTGCAAATAATATACAGTAGAATCCGGAAGACGCACTATCCATATACGTTTGAATCATATAAGTTTTTTTTTTTATTATACCCTCTGCAAAGGGTATAATAATTAAATCAGTATAGAAGATGCAGTCTGATGACCGAATTCAATCCGCATTATTTTTGTATAGAAAAATACATAACAATGCTACTGCACATGTGACAGTGTTTATTCTTGTTTTGTTATACCCTTGCAGTGGGTATTATAATTTCAGTCAAAAGTTTGCAACGCAGTGAAGGAGTCATTTCCGACCGCATAAAGTATATATATTCTTGATCAGCATCACCAGGAGAGTCGATCTAGCCATGTCCGTCTGTCCGTCCGTCTGTCCGTTTCTACGCAAACTAGTCCCTCAGTTTTAAAGCTATCTGCTTGAAACTTTCCCAAACGTTGTCTTTCTATTGCAGGTAGTATATAAATCGGAACGAGCCGGATCGGGCGACTGTATCATATAGCTGCCATATAACTGACCGATCGGAAAAGCCATAACGTTTGTGTTTTTTAAATTAGGAAGTTGGGATTTTCTATGGGTTTTATTTTTGGCCAATTAATCCGACCTACCGAATTTCATAAGGATCGGTCGACTATATCCTATAGCTACCATATAACTGAACGATTGAATATGTCATAACTTTGGTGTTTTTAAAGTTAGGAAGTTGGGACTTTTTATGAGTATTAAGAATACATCATATGAATAATTTTGAAGAATATAATTTACAGAATAATCTGCAAGGGTATATCAACTTCGGCTCCGTCCGAAGTTAGCTTTCCTTTCTTGTTTTTAATTAGAAGTAACATTTTTATATTACTGGGCGCTGATCTGATGACGAGCAATGTTTGTGAAGTCTCCAAAAGGCCTGACAGAGCGCCAGCTGTTCATAGAAGGAGGGATGAACAGCGAACGAGCGTATGGCAGTCTCGGAACGCAAGGTGGCGGGATCTGTTATTAATGAGGCATAGGGTTGTTTATGTTACGGGCAGGTGAGCATGGCACCGACGGCTGGCCAGGTTTCCTACCTGACGAACCTCGCTCGCCAGCTTGTGCCTTTCCACCTGCCTCCTAATGCTCAAAATGTATATTTGTAAATTATTGTAAA